TTATGAAATGAATGATTTCATACTCAACTCTGTTAAGAGATCAGGCCATCTATTGATAATTTCCAAAGCTTTTAAATTTTATCACTTAATAACCACTTGTGCTAAATGATATTGTGGATGGTCAATACTGAGTATTTTGGGAGGTCTTCGAGTCCACATTATTTGGACTGGGTTATTAGAATGTGTTGGCAGTAGTAGTCTTCTCCAATATAAGATCTCACATGGTAAAGACAAAACCCAGAAGACAAAAACCATAGTATTCTAACAGAAGGACATCTATAGTCTTAGAAATACCTAGTTCAACGCATTCATTTCTATACTCAGTCTCAGGGGGAAAAAGGATGATGTAGTTCATTGCCATGTAGGCATTTAGTTCCCTGACACTCATGTTAAAACTTTATTTATTGGAGCGCCTGGGTGGCTTAGTCGGTTAAGCGTCCGACTTTCGCTAAGGTCATGATCTTGCGGTTCGTGGGTTCAAGCCCCGCGTTGGGCTCTGTGCTGACTGCCAGCACAGAGCCTGGAGCTTGTTTCAGAGTCTGTATCTCCCTCTTTCTCTGACTCTCCCCTGCTCACGCTGTCTCTCTCTCTTCCTCTCCTAAAAATAAATAAAAATATTAAACAAAACCTTTTTTATTTATTATTACATTTTAAGTAGGTTCCATGCCCAGCCCAGTTCATTGCCAGCTAGGCATCTAGTTCTCTAACATTCAAGTTTTTATTATTGTTATTTTTTAAAGTAGGTTCCATGCCCCTAAGTGGGGCTCGAACTCACAACCCAGATATCAAGACTTGAGCTGAAATCAAAAGTCAGATGCTTACTGATGGAGCCACTCAGGTGTTACCCTACTTTTTAAAGTAAGCTCTGCACCCAACATGGGGCTTGAACTCACAACTTTGAGATCAAGAGTTCGATGCTCCACCAACTGAGTCAGCCAGGCTGCCCCTCATGCTAGAACTTTTCGTGCTGTCCATATTGCCTAACAAAACAGGTTCTAGAGTCAGACTGCTTGGATTCAAATCTTTCCTCTGCCACCTCAGAGCTGTGTGATCACAAATCAAGTTACCGAGCCTCTCCCCTTTTGAGGTTGTTGCCATAATGTTATCCACTCGCATGAGGGTTAAGTTAGATAATATTTATAAATTACAACAGTACAGTGCCTGGCACAAGATAAGCCTTCAAAAAGTTACAATGGTGATGATGATAGCAAACACTAACATAACTTACTATGTGCCAAGCTCCATTCTAAATAGTTTAGACTCATCACCTCATGTATTCTTCACAACAACCCTACGAATAGGCAGGTGCTCTTATTCCCCGGAAACTGCAGCACAGAGAGGCTGAGGGACCTAACAAAGTAAGCAACAGAAGCCAGATCTGTATCTAGAGCACCTCTCTCCAGAGTGTGTGAGCCCTTCACCACTCCACTATGATGTAGGGTCTCTCACAACTTCCTGTTGCCAATATCAAGTCTTTCTGTGGGTCAGAGGCTGCCATAAATGCTTAACACAAGTGAACTCACTGAATCTCCATGTCAACCTATGACACAGAAATCATTACTAAGTTTATATTAAATGTTTACAGGAATACAGCAAGAGGACAAAACAGAAGGTTGAGACAGTGGAGGGAGGAGGTCATAAGAGACAGTGCCAAGAGAAATAAGATGACGATAAAACATTCACAACTATCAAGGAACTACTTGGCACAAAAAATGCCAATGGCTATCCCAGATGGGAGGGATGTTTGTGATTCAGATGAGAGAGGGTGGGCAACAAAGACAGTGACCATTTTGCCAGCTTTAGAGTTCTGTTGAAGAGCCGGATCATTATAGCCCTTAGAAGGAGGAGGGTCAGTGTAGTGAAAAGGGTTGGGCTTTGAAGGCAAACACTAGCTCTCTTATGCATTAGCTTCTAGCATGTCACTTAACTTCTCTGAGCATTTTTTTTCAATTAAAATGGAGCTAATACCTAAAAATAAAGTTGTTGTGAGAATTAAATGAGAGAGATTTTATGGGCCAAGCACAGTGACTAATAGAATAAACTAAAAGAATAAACAGTAAATAGTAGTTCCCTTGGGCAGCACACTGTGTGATTAACTACGATAGCTTGACTTAAGGGTGTTCACAGTATTGGTCAACCATACACTCCCCTCCATGCAGGGGAAAATTGAGAATAAAAGAGTAACCTTGCTCGTCTGCCTTATAATGAACACCAGAATATGCTGTAAGAGCACAGGAGAGCAAAACCATTTGTCTTCTGATTTACATCTGGGATCAAGAAAACCTGGTTAGGTGTCTGTCCAGATGGCTCTAGTGGAAGGATCCTTCCAGTGTATATCCTTGGGGAAGACCCAGAATACAAGTCTGATTACAGCATAAAGTTCTGGAAATCCAATCTTGGATAAATTGCCAAATTCCAGAAGTACTTTCACATGACATCATTCTCTTGGTTCATTATTACTCAGAAGGTTTGATTATACTGTCAACTTCCCCAAATTGCAAATTATCGAACATTTCAGATGTACAAAATAATCACTCTTTTCTGTTGACAATGTTTTAAAATCCCTGCATAAAATGCTTAACTCTTATCCCATTGATTTCCTTTGCTCTTTCACCCCACGTTCTCCACTATAAAATTGGTTAATACCTTATTCTTTCTCAAGATCTTCACTGTCAGTAAATTACTATTTGTGGAATAGAATTATAATTCTAAAAGAATATGTTTTATACTGTGATTGATGGAAAAATATGCTTTTAACTTGCAGGGAAAGATCAATTTTCTGACACTGCAGCTCTATTTGCTCAAATGCATTACTATTATAAAGCACCAATTATGGCTAATAATGGCATTATTCTCAACTCAGTAAGTACTTGGTTTGGTAAAGCTTTAAGAACTCTCAACTTTGGCAATCAATTTAGTTCACTACAGGAAATAGCCTATTTCAAATAGATTATTACCTTACTGTCATATTGCTCCCCAAGCTCACATACAATCAAAGTGGATTGTCACTCCATGTACATTTACATATTCCTCTCACTATTAAGCTTGCCAGATCTAACACACTCTAGAAGCCATGTGTGTATGATACCAGTTTCCAAGGTTTGAGTTCATATTCTCCACCACATTCAGCCCCAATTCTTTCAAGTTCTATAAATTAACTTCATAAGAGATTAAGTAAAAATCACAGAAATAGGGGATTAGGAAGTACATGAGGTCCAGCTAGTTTATAACGGGAAAGTAATGAATTCTACCTTGCTTTTTGGACCCCACCCCCATCCAACTATCTCACCAGCCAGAACTTGAGAATGTTCCAGAACATCTTCAACCCCTCATCTCCTATATCCAACCAGCAGTTGAGGTATTCAACACCATCTTTTTTTAAATATCTGTTACATCTTTATTCTCCATTCTATAACCCTAACTTCAGTCTTATTTAATACTGCAACACAAAAGCTTTTACACTTTATAAGTTCATAAAATATAAAATAAAAACATCATAGAACATGCTCATTAACAGATGGCAATTGTGGTCACTTGGACTTAGGACCAAATGGACCCTGGACACCTCTTAGAAACATAAGCTCTAAAAAGGTGCAGTGCTCACTCTTCTGGGAAGTACAGGCAAAAATTATTATCCTGGGCAATGAGTGTAATAAGAAACAGAGAAATGGAGTTACAGGAGGATCAAGGGTTTTCCCAGGGAGCTATAGGAGCATCAGGCAGAAGGAGAAAAGTAGACCAAACAGAAGATACTTCCTCTGAGAAGGCAGGGAAGTGTGCCTCTGCACTGTGTGTTATGAATAACAATGAACTTTATAATCCAGAAAAGGCAAAAATCCACCATCCTATTTGAGATTTTCACATGAAAATCTTAGTGTTAATTGTAAATGGTCACATTTCTTTATACAATAGGATTTATTTTTTTTTAATGTTTTTATTTATTTCTAGGAGAGAGAGAGAGAGACAGCGTGAGCAGGGGAGGGTCAGAGAGAGAGGAAGTCACAGACTGAAACAGGCTCCAGGCTCTGAGCTGGCAGTCAGCACAGAGCCCAACGCGGGGCTCGAACCCACGAACCGCGAGATCATGACCCAAGCGAAAGTCGGACGCTTAACCGACTAAGTCACTCAGGCGCCCCCAATAGGATTTATTTTTATTGTCAATCGAATTATTTACTTTTGACCTCACAAGAGAGGAGAGTAATCTCGAGGCAGCAGATTACTATCACTATGCCTTCACTAAAAGTGAAAGTACTTATAATGCCAGAGTCTCTAGGAAATCTTGAGGGGAAAAATCCCTCAGAGTAACTCCAGAAATCATATTTTCAGGATTTTTTTTTCACTGGAATGTCAACAAGTAAATGTTCAATGTGTATAGTGCCCCTAAGTACCCACAACAAGAATTTCTTCAAAGAAGCATAAACACAATTAAAAAAGAAAAAAAAGAAAGAAACATGGCTCCTCTCATTTCTGTCTTGCTCAGACAGTGGCAAAGAGAATTCCCCTTCTGAAAACCAAGGAGAATCTCAGTTAACCATAGTAATGAGCTACCTGGTATATACAGATAGTTAAAACTCATAGATAATCCACAAAGCTTAATTATACTCCGATATTTCTATCCTCTACTTCACAAAATCTTTCACAATCACTACTAAAATTTGGGAAAACTTAGTACTTTGAATTTTTCTCATATTTCTTCCTGCATTATTTCTCAGAGGGCTGTAAAATTACAGGACATGGAGACACAGTTATCAAAATGGAGGGAAACCATATGAGAGACAGTAAAGGAGGGAAATGCTTCCAAATTGAATTACCAGCCTTTGAGAACTAGAGAGGAGATAAAGGTGGATCCCCAAAAGTAATACGACCAGAAATATTTTTAACCAAATGCCAGACTGCAAGATCGTTTGAATTCTACTACCACTACTTTTCCACATTCCTTTCTCTTCCTCCACACTTGCCCTTCCCCCAAAAAGGCTAAAGAAACGTGTGTTTTTACTTACAATTGTGAAGTTCATGACTTTGAGAATCCAGATGGTCATGGCCAAGTTCACCAGTATTAAAATCATCAGGAGTAGGACAAAGAAATACAGGCATCTTTTCCGCCAGCCATAAATGCCCACCTTGTATACCTGCGGCCCCTCGGAGCTGGGCATGGTGCTCCGGTGGTGTGTGTACTGTTCCTGAGGCATCTGAAATAGACAAGGCAAGAGAGACACACTCACGTTAACCTGCTGAGAGGGGGGAAAAAAGAAGAACAGAAAAAATCAACTCATGAAGACATATGGTTGGCTGCTATCTGTACATTTCTATCATCCTGAAACCTCCAAAACTCTGTTTCCCCTGGACAAAAGTGGCTCCTTTTGTGTTAGTCCCCTCATTTTATACAATCATCTCTCATGATGCATGTTGAGACATCCACAGGCACGCAAAGCATGGGAGGAAGAGACCCGTAGGAAGCCATTTTCCAAATGGTTCTTAGAATACCAACATCTTTGTGAGAGAGACACTAAACCACCTACCAAAGTCCTGAGGGTAAAATTTAGAATTTGTCTGAGAAAATAAATTGACCCCAGCAGTTCATCATGGTGGTATAATAAATGCTATCTAAACAATTTATTTGGCTGGGGGTGAAGAGTAAAACGATCTCAAGTACAATCATTCTGTACTGCCAAAAAGGGGAAAGGAACAATTTTGATCTTCCCCCTATTTCACAGTTCAAAGTGATTCTGATGGGCATATATTAAGCCTCACTGGACTCAGAGGTCTTCAAGTGATAGCCTGTGCTTAAATGCCTCCTTTGACAGTAGCCTCATTACATGCTGAACTAGTCTTTAGGAGTTACAGAATTCCAACTGTGATCAATCAATTCATTTATTTGATAAACATTAAGGAGGCTCAAAGTCAAGGAAGGTGTGCAAATGCCTTCCAGGAGCTTTCAGGTTAATGGGAGGAAAGAACTCATTAAATAGTGATTATAGTACAGTGAGATAAGTTAGAAAAATATTTGTCAATGTTAAGTAATATACTAATCCCTCTTAAAGTACGGAAGCTTTCCCTAATCCCTATTGTTGATACAAATGATCTTTATCCTACCACTACTGATTAAGTTTCAACACAAAACTAAGTAAACTTACACTTATATAAAATTCTAAAACGAAAACCAATTTTAAAATTAAATGCAAACAAATCTACCAATGTGTATCAGTCAAAATGGACAATAACTGACTACCAGATAGGATGATGATTTCCTAACACTAAGTGACATAATGTGGTACCAATGGATTTAGCACATCATCTTCTGAGTCTATCATCCCTATTCTGCCATGAGCCATGTGACAACATGGCCCCTACTGCTTTTCTCCATTCAAATACCTGCACAACCTTTATTTTGGGATTTTTGGTTCATTTGCCCTTCATGCAAGCATACTTATTCCCTAAGAATAAAGCTTGCCTCTTTTTATTTTCATCTCAGTCAAGAGCAATGAAATGTGTTGTAGGTGGTACCAAAGTGACCATGGTGACAAAACGTGGGCTCTAAAACCACATCATTGGTTATTAAGTCATCTTCCATATGGGCTGAAATATGATTACTTTATAGTTTTTAGATAATCATTAAAATGTACACATAAAATCTAAAAATCCTCCTGAGGAACTTGACGGAGGAACAAGGGGGAGAAGAAGAAGGGGAACAAGGGGGAAAGGGAGAGAGGCAAACCATGAGAGACTCTTGAATGCTAACAAAAACTGAGGACTGATAGATGGGGGGGGGGAGGGATGGGCATGGAGGAGGGCACTTGCGGGGATGAGCACTGGGTGTTATGTGGAAACTAATTTGACAATAAACTATTTGTAAAAATAAATAAATAAATAAAATAAATAAAAAAATAAAAATCCTCCTGAGAACTCAAGGCCCTTAAACATCACTGGAATTCTAAAAAGCCAAGTGAACTCTTATTTACAGTCAATGGAAATGCTCAGTGAAGTCCTACATGACATCTGTCTTGTTTTGGACACTAACCTAGTGCCAAAATAAGGTCCTATTATAAGTAGTTATTTAAATATATGTGTATGGAATGAATGAGTGAAAAAACAAATACTTAAATGACAAATGAATGATTTCCCATCTAATATGAAATCCTCTGCCACCTGGGGGTGTATAAAAGTTTAAGCCGAATACCACAGGGAAGTAATTTTTAGTATCCCTGCACATTTTCACTTAGGCTTTCAAAACACTGAGTTCCCAACCAAGCAGTGAATTTTATGCTGTAAGAGGATCTCCATTTCATAACTCTGCTCCTTACACTTCTGTAGATCAGGGCTGCACTGTACCAGCACAGAAATACAACAAAGTCATTTATCACTACCTTTTATACATACCAAGATCCCTTAGAAGGAGAAAGGATGTTTTACAAGTTTGAAGGAAATTAGGCCTTTCTTTTTCATTAAAACATATTCTAAACATTAAGGAAATGATCACAGAATCGTAAAATCATATCTGCAAGGTCCTTTAACTCCCATCAACTAATTTGCTGAATGAGCTGATTTAAGACTAGAGTTGACTAACTTCTGCAGCAATACAGGGAGTGTAGCAGGCCAAGGACAAGAATAACTGTATTGGACTCTAGTAGGTATGACGAACAGTGAGAAATTCTTCAAAATAAGAATATAGAAGCTAGAGATATAGCTACTACACCAGTTGCTTTTTCTTTGAGATTTGCCCCGACCAATGTGGCAATGACATAATTTAGCTATACAGTGGAAGCGACATGTTTAAGAAATATTAAGAAGCGGCTAGTGATGTGGATACCACACTTGTGATTTTTTTTTCATATAAAGATTGTTAGACCTGGACAGAATGCAGCGATTGTCTCTATCAGGGTTTCTCAATCCTGGATACACATCAGGTAGCTATGGAGGCTTTAAAAACACATATACTCAGGTCTATTAAATAATCACAAATGTAGGACCCAGGCATCGGTATTTTTAAACGGTCCCCATGTAATTTGGTATAGACAAGGTTGCATACCACTGGTCCAGAATAATCTCTTTCAACCTTGACTATGCATGAGGCTCCAAAACAAACTTCTAACAAATACAAATTCAAGTTCTGAGCTCTATGATGGGATTAGAATTGTTTAAAAAAAATGTCCCTAGGTCATTCCAAACATTTGGGACTATTTCTCTAAAAGATGGCCTTCAATATATTTTCTAATAGTACGACCACTGCAAGACAAAAAGCTTGAAACAAATTCTAGAATACACAACAGCAAAAAAGCAGAGCTTCTCTGAGGGTTTGGAAGAATGCTTGGACTCTTAGGAACCACTGGTTTTGACCACCATGTTTACTGATTAGCCGAGGAGCTTGAGGCCAGGAAGAAGCAGTTCTCTTTCAAGTCACTCAACACATTAAAAACTGAGCAGGGATTATAATTCAGATCCCCTGTGCCTGGTGTAGTGGCCCATTCTGTATATAACGAGGGTTCCTGCATCTCTACCACTCCAACTGCCTAGTTTAATGAGCCACATAAAACAAAATACTCCAGTTTGCAACTCAGAAGGTAAGGGAAGAAAGAAAGAATAGGGAAGGGAGTGAGCAATTTTGTACAAATGGTTACAACAGGAAGGGATGCCAACCAAACATAAGGAAATGGATACATCTGTTACCAATAGTCCTGCATAGAAAAGGAAAATTTAGATATGCTGAGTACATTAATTTTTCTAGCCAAAAACTGAAACATGTTGAGATGATAAAAATATAAGAAGACAGATCATCTCCAATCTGTGTTCCTTTTTGACCCCAGGAGAAATCCTTCCAGGGAATTTCAAGTCCTTTCTGAAACTGAAATTTCAAGTCCTCTCATGACCAGGCCCCTTTCCTGACTCTGGGAGGCACCTTAGTAATATATTAATAGCGCCAAACAATGTTTGTCAAATGGGCTAAAGTAAAATGTTTTCGTTCCAACTTGTTAAGACCATGTATTTTTCAAATCCCCTTTCTGTTGGGTGGCTTTGGAGGACTCACATTAATTTTGGAGGTCCAACTAACAGGATGGTGAACTGGGAGTTCATATAGTGTGGGTGCATTAGTAAGTATTTATGTCATTTGCAGACACTTTCTTGTAGAGGTACATTATTTCTAGCCCTCCTCATGTAGGAACGTCTTCCAGAAATTCTTCTTCCGCCCTTGGTGCCAACTCACCAAGCATGGTGTCATGAAGGTAAAGGACCAAGTAACCATCGTGATACAAACATATCCTCTGATGGTCAGCACCGGAAATATCTGGGTAGTAGGAGAGCCAGAAGCTAGCTGGATTTTTTTTTTCAATCATTAGTTATGTAAAATTCCAAGTGAGATTCAATTCTCACTGACACCTAGTCAGAACAGAAATTCTCTTGACAAGAATATGTCCAATTCGGCATATAAAATGATAAATGCTCCATACAGTTTTTATTTTTTATGGGAGCCATGGAATATGGAATTAATTGGGATTCTTATGTTTGCAGGTACAATGTGCACTGTGTGTTTATATTCTGTTTGTAAAGTTGCATGCTTTACGCATTGCCACCAGCAGTAATAAAAACTTAGTTCTGTTGAAAGTGCCATAGGAGACAACCGTCTTTCTATTGTCTATGCAAGAAGTGATAGTACCAAACAGCTGTCATATGAAGAGGCAATCAAAGGCTATGCGACCAAAAAGTGTAGAAGAAGTACGTCAGTTAATTATTAACAACATATTTTTTCTGGATTTTTGATAGGATCTTTTAAAAATTAATAACTTAATTTCCTTTCTCACTCTAAATATATTCATGTTTTTAATTTGTTATTTCTAATTCTTTAGGATTTTTCCCCCTTAAAACAGACCCACAAATTACTTAGGCTTCAGGCCTCACAAAACCTGGATCGTCCTCTAGCCCCTCCCATAAAGGAGCCCAGGCATACAGCATGACCTCAGTGTGACAGCACTGTGGGACACCACTGCTTAGCTGAGCACAGTGCAAGGCACTGTGATCAGTCTCCCATTAGGAGTGATTTTTGGACTTTTCAGTGGATAAGAACCACTCCGGGGAAATTGATTCAGTGCACATTCCTAAGTCCCACACCAAGAAATCCTATCTAATTCAATAGGGAATCCCAGGTATCTGCTTATTAAGAAGCACCAAAACTGATTTTGATACATGGGCCCCAGAG